GGTGTTTTTGTTCCCTCTTCCTCCCTGGTCAGCAGGGCTGAGCAGTTTATGCCTGCCACCTCCCTGCCTTCATTCTCCCAGAACAGGGAGGTGAAGCTGACAGTGGTCACCTCTGTGTCCAGCGATGTTAGTGTATCCAGCAGCTATGTGCATGCCTCCCTTCCCACCCCACAGGGCAGCCAAGAGGAACAGAAGTAGGACGAGGGATAACCCCTGCCTGCCCACTGACCTCTCAGGGCTCAGGTTTTCTGTCCAGAGGTGACCAGTGACCTCAATGGATTAGAGATTCTGCTGTAGGTCATGCTTGTTGCAGACCTGGAAGACCTCCCAGAAGTGAATCCCACACATATGGAATAGTTATCTTGGTCCCCACTAAAGAGAAAGAATTCTTGGAGCAGCCACTAAAACACAGAAATCTTGATTCTGTTCTTGTGTCAGATGAACCAGTTGTCCTGTGGGAACAAGATCTACAGGTGGCTTCCTCTGGTGGAACCCAGTTGGTGGCCGTCTCACAAAAAGGATTGAGGGAAAAGCCGGGTCAGAAGGTCCCAGGAACTCTTTTAATTTCCCAAAGAACCCTTCCTGTTATATAGCAGCCCCCTGATTTCTCCAGCAGCCCCTTTTTTGTTGGAGATTGGGAAGTCTTCCCACGGCCTGGGCTATTCATCCCCCTCCCTACCTCCCCTTCCAGTGTCTTCATGTCTGAGCCTTGTGACCCAGACTCTGCTGGGCCAGTCAGCCAGGCAGTAAAAGGAGATTGATGCCCTCTCCTCTTAGGAAAATCCATCACTTTTTGGCGTGTGGGTCAGATAGCTTCACCAGAGGCAGCTCTGAACAGCACTGTGTGAGCTAAAAGCATGCAGAAGCAGGGACCCAAATAGACGCATGGACGTCAGAAGTGAAACGGCTCACTCCAGTCATTCCCCAGGGCCTGAGCAGAGGCTGTTCCTCTCTCACTCTGTCCCCAGATATACCCTTCTCCCCAGGGCTTTGTTTGTTCTGTAAGGCTTCCAGTGGGGGCTCCTGCCCTTGCCCTTGGGAAGATGCTGTCATAGAATTCCAGGATGAGCAGGGTGAGGGAAACCTGAGTAGTGGAAGATGGAGGATTAAGCATCTGTGGACTGGATCATTTTAGTGGCCATAAAGCTGGAAGGACAGAGTGAAGGCAGCCTAAGGTAAAGGGAAGAACACGGATTTGGGAGTCATAAACAAGAGAGTCCTTCCTTGTCCGCATTTTACCTCTGTGAATTTGGCAAGTTACCCCCTGTCTCTGTTTTCTTATCTGTGAAAGGGGCGTAATAACACTTATCTCTCAGTCTCTCAGGGTTATGATGAGAATCAAGTGTTGAATACCCAGTAGGTGTTGATACATAGGGTGCAAGTTAATTCCCTTTGCCCTACTTTTCCCTGGGTAAGTTCAGTGAAAGAAGCTGCTCATATGGTATTCTGGAGTCTCCAGTCTTGTTGATGCATGGGGTTGTCCACATGGAAGTGATTTGCCTTATGTGTTTGGCCCTAATCCAGCCAGTCTCTGCCAAAGTTCCCTGGTTACCTTGTGGAGCTTCTTATCCTGATGACGAGGAACCAGTCTTCTCCTGGGGGAGAATTTATGGTCGAATAAAATCTGTGCTTATTTCCCATTCCTCTTTCTGCTCGTTCCCAGCACTCACCACCCTGCCCAGGGCTAAGCATAGGTATTGGTGTCAAAATTCTTTCACCCTGAAGACAACAAGAATGAGTCAAGGCTATTTTCTTCTGAGCACCTGAGTATTTCCACATCCCTGAAAAAAGGTCCATTTGCACATTTGGGGAAGACACTTTGGCCCATGGGAGGCTTCTGCTTGGCCTTTTTCACATGCTCCTGGAGAGCAGATGAGCTTCCAGTAATATGGTCACTTGCCCTCTGCTACCTTCAAGGCTCACAGCTGTCACAGCTTCCCCACTCCTGCAACCAGGGGTTTGCAGCTGCTGCCAGGCTCTCCTGGGATGTTGAGGGAGGGCTGGGAAACCACTCCCTGGATGCCGCTCCCACTTGGCTTGTCTGAATCTCTCAGGGGTTGTGATTCTTGCTGCTGAGGGAAGGAGAGGAGAAGGACGGGTTCCAAGACGTGACTGAGGCACAACAGCTGAAAAACAGAGTCTGGTTCTCTTTAAAGCTCCTCCATTCCTGTTTTGCATTCATTGTAGCTGGGAGTGAGTGTTCTGAGGGAAGCAGTGAGGTCTCTCAGCCCAGAGTTGGACTTAGGGACCCAGGAAAATCTATAATATTGTTTTACCTTTGTAGAGATGTTTCTAGAACATAAGAAGGCAAGATAGGCATGATCTGCATTGCATGGATGCATAGTTGGGCCTCTGAGAAGGGACTTGACTCAATCTGGGCCACACAGCTAGGGAGGGAAGGAGGACCTTGGAGCTAAGCCCAGGACGTCTCACCTCCTCCTGGGCTTCTGGAAGTGAGGCATGGCTAAACTGTGAGCACGGTACTTGCTTAGGCCAAGTTGTAAAGGTAACTTCTTCAGCTGGCTAATTTCCCACCCCTCCAAAGAAGCTGTGTTCTAGTGGTTCTCAAAGTGTAGTTCCTGCACCAGAAGCACCTGGGAACTTAGCAATGCATATTCTCAGGCCTCAACGTGGACCTACTAGATTGGAGTCCCTGGTGGAGGAGCCCAGCAATCTGTTGTAACAAGTCATCTAGGTGATTTTGGTGCATTCTTAAGTTCTCCTATTACAATGCAGAGGGAAGGTGGGATCAGGGTGGAGTCTGGGGCCAAACGGGGCTCTTCCCCCAGTAACTTGGCAAGCCTGCCATGTCCTGATGCTCTGAATCCCATGCCCAGCTCAGTCACCAGGTGGGGATGCCTGACTTGGCCCTCATTTCTCCTTTTCGTAAAATAATAGAATAATGAAAATGCCAAAACACAGCCTACATTTCGGAGGACTTAAAGGTTTACAAACTTCCAGGCTCAGGTAATAGGTAGGTTAAACTCGTGCGGTTCTCCCCATACCCATTTTACAGGTGAGAAATCTAAGACCCAAGATTTTGTTATTGTTGTTCTGTGAGGTGCACAAGTTCTTGGAGGATCCCGGTCTTGAAGCAAGCACCTGTGGCTTCCCAGGCCTTCCCAATCCCGGCGTGTTCAGAGATGTGGGCTTGACATTGTACAGCTGCCATCGTGAGCCCTGTCTTCACTTCCAGGCCATGTCAGGACATTCAACTTGCAGAACCCGTGTGTCATCCCTAGTCACATGGGAATGATTAGGTAGCAGGAGCAGGTGGCCTCGAGAGAGGGCCTGACTTCCTATTTTCTTGCAGCGGGAGACTCTTTAGCCTTGCCCACCAAAGTCAACAAATACCATTCCTCAGAGGCTGAGAAACAGAGACAAAAAGTGTGAAGAAGGGAACCAATTTTAATCCCCTCCCTGTAAAGACTGGGGCATAGTCCTGCAGTGCGTAGCAGCCGCATTGCAGCCTGTGGCTTGGGAGGAGTGGTCACCAGCAGCTGTTAATGTGCAGGTCTGTCATGGTGGGAGGAGAAAATCATAGTCTATAAATGCTTCCTCCTGCAAATCCTTACTAGGCAGATCATCTGGGACACTGTGGGGATACAAAGGGCTCTGATGGGGGAAAAAAAAGATTCCTGTAGTTTATTCTTGAAGGAATCCCCAAACCAACAAAACAGTACCCCAAGGCTTCCAGCCATGCCCCTCTGTCCCTGTTATGTCTCCTCACTTACGGAGATGATCTGCCATGGCCCAGGATCTGCAGCTTTCATTTCTCTACAAAGTCACTGGGGATAATCCACTTTTTGGCTCTGCAATGCTCTTCGTAATGTGAATACAGGTATTTAATGGGCTTCTGCCTGGTGAACAATTAATGTAAAGGTCAGTGAGTAATCTCCGGTTTGCTCCTTTCATCACTAGCCCACTGCTTGTACAACTCCTTTGTAGCATTCTTTCCAAATAGGTGGGAGGGCTGAGGTCACAGCTCTGCTTTCTGCAGGCAGACAGACCTTAATTAGGTTGCTAAATTAGCAGAGGCAGGGGCAGCCCTTCTCTCTGCACACACCCTCATTCTTGGATGGACTCTGAACTTGCCTTTTGTGGTCTCATTGGTCTTTCTCTCTTTCAGAGAAGGGTTGGCCAAGTAGAGGTTTCCCCCAGATAATCTTAGCTACCCCTTAGAAGTCTCTGTCATGAACCAGGCACTGTGATGGGGTCACTACAGCCTTTATGTTACCACAAAAACCAGTGTGTCTTTGTGTGTGTGTGTGTGTGTGTGTGTGTGTGTGTATGTGTGCATGCATGTGTCTATGTCTTCTATGTCTTTACTTTGTCCTCAGCCCTGGGCCAAGCTCTTCATAGGGATTTTCTCATTTAATCTTCACAAGAATTCAGCAAGGAAGTTGTTCTTGTTAATCCCATTTTACAGTTGAGAAAATTGAGGCTCTGAGGCTAAATAACTTTCCCAAGCTCAAAAAACTGGTAATGGAGTGGAGCCAGGATTCCAACCTGATTCTCGATCGTACCCCGGAAACCTTGCTTTTCGAAGTGCGACCAACAGCAGATGGACATGACCTGGGAGTTTGTTAGAAATATAGATTCTCAGACCCACTGGATTAGAATCTTCATTTTGACAAGATTCCCAGGGGATTCATGTGCACAAAACTGTGGAGACTGCTTTGTGCTATCTCCAATAACTCTGGCTAATTAAGGCCAGAATCCTGTGCATTAACTACTAACTCCATTTGCCAGCAGAGGATGCTGTGGTTTAGAGGGGTTAGGAGTTATTCAGGGACAGCACTGAAATTTGATTCTGGCCCATACTCTCAAACCACAGAAGGATGTCAGGTTTTTTGCTAAAGTTGGGGTGCTAGAGTTTGCCTTTGCCTGCTGTGGGCTCAGAACCAAATTCTCCACTCTACACCTCTGTACTCTTCTGTCTCCCTGTGTCACCAAATGAGGACTGATTTGCTGCCCTCCTCTTTGTCCCTGTCCTACAGATGTGCAGCACATTAAGAGGAGAGACATCGTATTGAAGCGAGAACTGGGTGAGGGAGCCTTTGGAAAGGTCTTCCTGGCTGAGTGCTACAATCTCAGCCCAACCAAGGACAAGATGCTTGTGGCTGTGAAGGTAAACCCCAGAGGCATGTGGGCACCAGGAGGAGGGCTGGCTGAGGGCCCAGGGAGGGAAGGAAGAGGCTCACTCCATTTGAGAAGATAGTGCTCAATTGGCTTTCTCGCATGCAATCAGAGGACTTTGCTCCAAGGTCAGTGAAGTTTCCTAGAGACCACAACAACTTCCTTTGGCTTCCAAGGTCAAGGGCTGCAGCAATTAAGGGGGCTATTCCTAGGGAGCAAGTTTATTCTTGTAAATGACCCTGGTCCTTTTCTGGTGGCCCTGTGGCTACCTCTGTCCCAGGGCTGGCCCTCCACACTCCACCCTCCACCATGTAGTAGTTTTATAGGACGTGCTGTCTGTGCCTGGAAAGTCACATGGCCATTTCTCAGGAGTTGAGCTGTTGTAGAGTGGGCTGTTTAAGGAGGACTGGGTAACCACTTCCCAAGAGCACAAACATCACTGAGAATAGAAGAAGATGTTGAGGGAGGGGGTATATAGAGGGTATATAGAATAAGATGTTGGGTTGAGAGAGGCAGGGAGTTAGCACTGGGAGAATAGTGAGGGAGGTTGCAGAAATTCTTAGGTACTTCCCATGGGATTCAGATTCAGACCCCAAGGGGCAGCATGCCTGGGAGAAACTTCTTCCTGGCAGCTGCTGGAGGGCTCCCTTAACCACAGGGCTTCTGTGTTGCCAAGACACATGGCAGATTTGCAGCAGGAGCTGAGTTGCTTGGGGTAGGAGAGAAGGGCCTTTGCTACTACTGGTTACCCTTCCAGACTCTTCCACCCAGCAGTCAACAGCTTCTCTTTGTAAACCAATACTGGACAAATCTTTGAACATGGTTAACATAAACAAGAATCAGGTAGCCTCATGGAGACATGCACAGATCTCTGGTGCCCTTCTCTGGAGTCTGGAGTGGCTTCATTGCGTGCAGTGAGCAGGCTTCTGAGGCCACCGTGGAGTCTGCAGTGTCCTGAAATGTGGGCCAACCAATGCCAGAGATATGGCTCCCCATGAAGACATTCACCCAGACCTCAGAATGGTCCGATCCTTACCATTGAGGGATCACAAAGGCAGTTCTTGTTTCTGCAACTTTTGGGTCTCTGTATTCTTAGTCTTGTGTATCTACAGATTGTTTCTGTCCACAGAGGGCAAACGACCTCAAGAATGAAGGCAGTACAGTGCAGGCATAGCATGGGCATCAAACAGCCTGGGTGCAAATCCCAGTTCTACCACTGATAAGCTGTGGGAACTTTCACAAGACACTCAACTTCTTTGGGCCTCAATTTCCTTATCTGTATAATAGCTATAATAATATCCCCTCCTTAGAATATTGGGGATTAAATTACACAATGTGTCTAAAATTCATAATGCACTGCTTGGGGCTTAGTAAAGACTCAATAAAAAGTAGTTGGCATTTGTTTCTATCATCATCATTGTCATTGATGTTGATATTACTGAATGTGCTTAGATACAAGATGTATGACCTGCCAAGCTTGCATTGACTATCTAGAATAGGAGTCACCAAACTTTTTCTCTAAAGGTAAATATTTTAGACGTTGAAGGCCTTATAACTCTCCATTGCAACTCTGCCTGTGTTATTGGAAAGCAGCATAACAATATGTTAACTAATGAGGGTGGCTATTTTCCAATAACTTTTTTTATTACCAAAATAAGCAGAGTTTGCTGACCTCTGCTCTAGAAAATAAATAAGAGTACTGCATCCTAAAAGACTAATGATTATTATTGCTGTACATCCTGTAAATAAACTTGCTCAGTGTGTCTCTGCAGACATGAGATAGTCAGATGAGCAAGGGTGTCTTTAAAGAGCTTGGAGGAGGGATGTAGAAAGGTTTCTAATGTTGTCCCTAAACTTAGGATCTGCACTGCCCTGGCATTTTTAATATATAGGATGACACTAATCCACGGGGTGTTCCAGCATCCATCTAGGGACTGGTGAATGAACTGAACATTTTTGCACTTTCAGCAGAGAATGAAATGATGGCTGAAAACCCTGGGAAATGTTTCCCTGAGTGGTCTGGCATTAAGGGGCAGTACCCAGAACGAGTAATGCAGAAAATGTGTTTCTGTTCCCATCCTTTTAAAACAATGTCCTTCTTTCCTTGGATCTGGGGACCTCGAGGAGATGAACCCTCTGGGATTTTACACCATGTGTCACTCAGTGAATCTGCCTAGTGGTCAGCCTGGAAAAGATGCCTATGTCCTCCAGAGAACATCTTGGAAGTGGTGTTTCTTACTTCCTCCCCTCTTTAGATTCCACTCTTTTTTTTTTTTTGCAGGACCCTTCCTTTTGAGTTAGTTCTCATGTTGATGCAGAGTGATTTTGTACTTCTAGAGAACACATACAAGTACAACCCAAGATAAAGTTTTCCCAAATCAATTGGCAAGAATGTTTTGCCCAGCAGTTGCTATGGTACAAACAAAGAAGCAGAAACCGCAGCCTATTTTTAAGGTGCTTATAGCCTGCTGGGGAGAGGGAGCAATATGGTACAGGACATAATCTGCATATATGTGTAGTATAAGTGTGATGTTAAAATAACATCATGCATGAACTATTAAATAAGTGGTGCCACTCTGAAATCATCATTAGACAAACAGAACATTTACACAGCATTCAAATCCAGGCAACCCCTTCCTTCACAGAGGAGGGAATGAGATCCTTCCCCCCATTTTTCCTTTTTTTTTCTCTGTCATTTCATACTCTGTCCTGGGTGAACCTCAGTGGTCTTCTAATTCACGAATTCTTCAGGTGGTTTTATCTGGTCTAGAGCTTTTCCTGTCTGTGGAGGTTTTTGTTTTCACTTCAATGACCATATATTTTATTTCCAAGATATCTAGTCGGTTCTTAATTTTGTTACCTTACTTTTATTTCTCCCCCTTCTTGTGGCATGCCTTCTTGTTTTCTTTAGAAAATGTATTTCTTCACTCTTTTTGAGCATTTACTTATTTAAAAATCTTTTTGAGCTATTCTAATAAAATTAATTTATCTTCAGGAAATTTATGTCCTGGTTTTTGATAATATTAGTCATTTGGATTTAGCATTATATTTCTTCCAATATATCTGAACTTCAGCTTTTGGGTTCCTTTTGGCTTGAAGGGTGTTTTGGTTTTTGTTTTGAGTAGTCGCAGTTTCCACTTTCAATTACTTTAAATTGAAGCAGGAGCTTAAAACATTTGTGAAACAATCTGAGTGCAGAATGTCAGATTTTTACTGTTTTCCCTATGTTTTTATGCTTTTTCCTTCTACTCTTAACAGTATTTTTAACCACTGACCTTTAGCAGGTTTTTTAAAAAGCATTCATCCTAGCTTCCGTAAAAACTCCCCAATATACACTCACATTTCATTGGTTTCTAGAGCATTTCATTACATTAAGTAATTACATTAGCAGGTTTAGTTGTCATGAATGAGTTTGGGAACAATCACAGACAACTCTTGGTAAACCCCTCTGTGGGACAGAAGTATTTCCCTGGGTATCCAGCTAGCAGGGAGTATTCAGGATCTCATGCTCTGCAGAGGTCATAGGCAGTGCCAACTAATCTGGGCTGTCATGTAGACACAGCTCAGTGGAGAGTTTTCTGGCCAAAGGAGCACCAAAGGCCCTGAGGCAGAGAAAATCTTGGAGGGTACGGAAAGGTCATGAGACTGAAGTGTAATAAATGAGGCGGGAGGAGTGTGTGCAAGGAGAGGAGGCAAAGAGAGATGGGGAGACCAGACCTTATAAAGTCCATGACTGTGTTAAGGAGTTTGGATTTTATCCTATAAACACTGGGAAGCCAATGGCCAGTTTTAAGCCAGGAAGACAGATGAGAGAGGGGCACCCCTGTATGTAACAACTACCCATCTTCTTTTCCTGGTAGAGTTGTGTGAGACTGTCGCCCAAAGGAAGTGGCAGTGGATTTCGAGTCAGTAAAAGAAAGATGATTTTACAATGAAAGGGGGTTGATTGGTGTGCGTGTGTGTGTGTTTGACCACTTAGGATTTAGAACATTTAGGAATGTGTGTATATCATATATATATCATAAAAATGAATTTCAGGATATTAACGAAATCTGAAACTGAACATCCTTTGAAATATCTCCCCCTAAAAAAAAAAAAGACAGTAAGATGGAGAGTAGCAGGGTTTGGACGACATGAAGATGCTGAATGACCCAGGAAGAGTTGGGAGCTGTTGAAAGGTTGTGTTCTTGCCATCTAGCCTATTTTCCTTCCATCCAAATAAACAGCCTTACTGAAACCCTCTCCCCAAGGCAGAGTGGACATGACAGCTGGTGCATGTTGAGGGGAAGATAAGAAAGGGAAATGTCCGCAAACTTTGAAAGAAAGAGAGGGAGAGAAGGAAGGCAAATTCTAGCTCTCCTTTTTGTACTAAAGATACCGTACAAAGGACTGAGCCAGGAACTTCCCCAGCTTCAGAGACCTCTTGGCAAGATGCATGTCTCTACACTGACTGTTGATGGCTATGATAAATCGGTTCTTTCCCGTGCCACTGACTGGTGACCCATTTTGAGGTTTCCCAGCCATGAAGATATTAAATGTGGACCCCACTGAGAGGGGCCAGAGAGTCACTGGCCCTATTTCCCTCCTCATTATTCTCCTCCTGTCACCTCTGTTCTAATTGCATCAATACCTGGGGACAGGGCCACTGGCAGCTCCCAACCCTAGTTGCCATACCCCACACTTGGCCAATTAGGTAAGAACTTCAGGTTTGACTCAAGAGCTGGAAAGCCCACTTTGAAAGCATGGAGAAGGGATGTGGAAGACTGAAAGTGATGGCGGTTGCTTTGTGTTCATCTTCCGAATGAGGAACCCATCTCTGCCTTACAGTGCTGGGTGCCAGCCTAGGGGGGCACTGGCTGGTGCTGCTTGAGAGCTGAGAATAGAAATATCCCAGGGCTGTCACTGACGTCCAGACTGTGGGAGAGAATGATTTAAAGAGATGGAGAGAGGCCGTTTGACTGGCCCCAAATTTGATCTACTTTTCCCTCTCAAAAATCCAGCATTCAACATAAATCTTTATATTCTCCCATCCCACCCATGCTGGGTTCCTCCTCCTCTTCTTCTTCTTCCTCCTCTTCTTCCTCCTCCTCCTCTTCTTCTTCTTCTTCTTCCTCCTCCTCTTCTTCCTCTTCCTCTTCCTCCTCCTCCTCCTCCCCCTCCCCTCTTCCTCTTCCTCTTCCTCTTCTTCTTCTTCCTCTTCTTCTTCTTCTTCACAAATAAATCACTCTGCATCATCCAATACCCATGACCTAGCCCATTCCGCTCATGGCTGCTGCTGGGAGCTGGGTCCCTAGGAGAGAATGTCTCTCACCATGACTCTCTGACTCCTCAAATGTCTTTGTTCTGGTTGTAGGTGGACATTACATCCTATTCATTTATTGTTAGGTAGCTTCGCAGAGCAATCAGCCAGAGCTGAAGTGGAGAACACATAGAATCAGGTCTGGTAAAAATCAGCAATGGGCTGATCAAATGTCCTTGCCCTATCTTCAAGCCTGGCACCTTCACTGGGCCCAGCCACTCTGCTGGCAGCCAATGCCACACCCCTTTCCTGACCCTCTCCTCTATACTTTCACATCCTTTTATTCCTCTGCCCACCATTCTCTTGGGGAGCTGCCTAGTGACTAATTTATCGCATAAATTAATTCAGGCAGGGGTGCTAGGCAGGAAAGTGTCCTGGGCGCCAGACCCAAGCTGTTACTTGTTACGTGATCTTTGGCAAGTTACTTCCCCATCCTGAACCCCAGTTATCTCATCTGTAAAATGGGAAAGTTATGCTAGATAACTTTCAACATTTTTGTCAGCCATAGATTCATTTAATCAAGCAATATTTTTATGAAGCCTTCAAATTTTAAAAAGAATGAAGGTGGTGCTGGTTGAAGTTGAAAGGGGCTTCATCTCTGGCTGGAAGACCACACCTCCACTTGATGACCCTAGAGGCATTGCTACTGAACTTTGGGGCACTGTGAGGTCCACAAGGAGAGTACTGAGGTCCAGTCAAACTCTAAGTGTCTGTCATTTAATTAGTGTGAATGTGAGCTGATTCCTGGACAGGCTCAGCCTCAGTTTCTCCAACTCCAGAAATGAGCAGGTAGGAGTAGATGATGTCTAGGGCTCCTTTCACGCTAACAGTCCATCATTTCTAATGTGTGCTAAGGGCTGAGAGGTTTGATGGACCCCCTAGATACATCTCTTTTGACGTATTCACACTACTGCAGTGCTAGAACCAAGGAAGCCCTACAGATTTCAGATAATGGGGCTGCAGGAACAGGAGAAAGATGTCTGATGAGGGAGATGTTTTGGTACTTGCGTGATCTATAGGAGGGACCTGTCAGCCTGAAAAAGCCAGATGCCTAGCAGAGAAAATGCAAAGCAATCTCTAGTCTGTCTAGATGGTCACTCCCCTGAAAATGGTGAGCCAATGTTACACTCACTTCCTCATTACCTTGTGTTGTGTCTATTGAGGTTACTAAAGTGTGTCAGTTGAAGCAACTGAATGTTTGGCCCCATTTGCCTTCTGGCCTCATAGGGAGAAATGGGGGCGCCCACCTGCATAAGCTGCTCCTCGTGCAGAAAGGGCCCTTCCCCTTCACAGACCATTGTCCATCTAGCCAGCATTGCTGTGCCCATGGCAGTGCCGTAACCAAAGTCTTTCAGATGTGCTCAAAGGCTTTGTCTTTGGTCTTGTAGTCCCCTTCTGGTGCTGGGAAATCCACATGTACAACTTACAATCTACCTGGGTATATTCATCCTCCTTGGCCCTACAGGAAGTGGCCTAGTTTGCACCTATTTCTCACACTTGAGTTTTCACCCTGACAGAGGCTGAATGGTGGCATTCTGGTGGCCCCCAGATGCTCCTTTCTATCCTGCACTAGGACTTTGTAGGACTCTGCCTGGCCCTGAGTGTATCTGAGATTTCTGTCCACTAATTGCCATTCCTGTAGCTGCTGCCCCACTCTTCCCACCCTATTGCTTCCTCCAAACCCCTATTAGGAGAACACAGGTGCCTTCCAGAGGTCAAAGTTCTCACTCCCCACTGCAAATGTAGATACCTTCACAATCTAAAAACAAGGACTCCAAAGGACAAGGAGACTTTATTGTGTTGCATGCCCAGTTTCTAGTAGGCTACGAGCATGTGACTAATTCACAAAGTTAAGCATTAGGCCAGCGGTTTTCACACTGTTTATTCTAGCTGTGGGACAGTTTCTTCAAAGAAAACCTTAGGAGCAGGGGCTTTTGCCAGGCTTTCCTCCTCACAGCCCCTCCAGCTGCCATGTACACTCACCAGTGGAAGCCCACGGCTCTGTGATGAACAGAGTTTGAAATCACTGGAGAGTGCATAGGATGTGGATGTCAGAGAGTGGGTTTCTATTTCTGCAGGGATCAAAGTGCTGGAGGAGGAAGGAGTCAGGCCTCATAGTTCAGATTGAGCTTCATTGTCTTTAAATTCCATTTAGATTCATATTTATTGGTAGCCCAGTGGTGTGTGGGGCCAGTTTCTTTCCAGGAGTAGAAAAGACAGCCCCCTGCCCTGTAGTTGCCAAACGCCTGTGTCCTGCATCGTTCCTAGGCCCTGAAGGATCCCACCCTGGCTGCCCGGAAGGATTTCCAGAGGGAGGCCGAGCTGCTCACCAACCTGCAGCATGAACACATTGTCAAGTTCTATGGAGTGTGTGGCGATGGGGACCCCCTCATCATGGTCTTTGAGTACATGAAGCATGGAGACCTGAATAAGTTCCTCAGGTAAGGAAGGATTGTCTTCCCCCGCACCTGACCCCAGTCTCACCGAACTCTTGGGGTTTTCCCTGGAGCCAGAAATTGTACTACCCCTTCTAAACACTTACCTCTCAGGATGAGAAATTAGATGAATACACTCATTACTATACATCATCTCCTTAGCAGTCAGATTCAGGCCTTTGTCCCCAGTTTGTAGGGAAAACAAGTTGAGGATGCTATGGTAAGTATCCTATACTCTTCTTCCTCATTCCAAAATGGACTGAGAAGAAGATCAGGGTCTGGAATAGGTCCAGGAGGAGTCTGGAAGCCCCACAGCCTGTGGCTTACAACTCCAAGATTCTAGGGCCACCCTTCTCTGATGCTGCGAATAGCTTTCTCCCTTTGTGCCTTAAGTTTCTCACTTGCAAAGTGAGGCTAGTATCTTACACCCCTCCTGGAATCCTTCCTGCTAGAGACTTTTTGATGTTGAGTAAGAAGGTCCAAGGTTACAATTCATCAGGTGGCAGAGATGGTTGAAACAAAAAGGGGAATGATTTTCTTCAGGCTAATTCTAGAACTGTGCTGTTCAGTACAGTGGCCACCTATGCCATTTAAATTTAGATTTACATTAATTAAAGTTCAATAAGATTTAAAATTTCAGTCGTACTAGTTCCTTGGTTACACTAGCCAAGTACTTGTTAGTCATGTGTGGCTAGTTTTTACCATACAGGGAAGCACAGTATAAACATTTCCATCAATAGAAGGTTCTATTGGATAGTACTACTCTAAAAAGAAAGGATTTGTTGTAAGAAGGGTTTCTCCGAGCCTGGAACAAGATCCTCTGGACTTGGAAGGCTCTTAATGTGACTGGTAAGAGACTGGAACTCCAGCCAGAAGTTCTGGATGAAGTTTCAAGGGTGGTTCTCCCTTCTCCAGAGAAGACAGCATCTCATCGCTAGTGCAGAGTTAGGACTCCTCTGCCGTCTGCAGATGCCACTTCCAAACAGTGCCCAGATATGGAAGGAACAGCCGTGTGAAGGTCTGTGGAACCCAAGGCCCCAAGAAACAGGTTAAACACATAGGCCCTGTATACTTAAGGTGTGGCCTCTGCCACCGCCACAATTTGAATCTCATTGAACTCTGTGGCTGAGGATAAGATTTCCAAAGTTCAAATGTAAATTATAGGAGGCTTTAGCCCACTCACCAAAAACTGCTAAGCATCCTCTTGACGTGGGACATACAGTAGGGTGTTGTGGTTTTGAGGGGCAAAGAAATGAGTTAGTACCAGGCAATGGAATGGAGGACTCTCTGGAGCTCTGCTTATGAGTGAGGTTTCTGCAAAAATGGTCCTGAAGGAAATGAAAGTATTTGTGGGATGTTCGAAGCCTTCTAAACCTGGATTCACAATGAAATGGATTCCTTTCCTGGAGAACTTTGTCTTTAGCATAAGACAGATTTGGGTTCATATCTTGAATTTGTCACATCTTAGTTGCAAATTGGAGCACATTATTAAATCTTAATTTTCTCTCCTAGAAAACATGACTATTAATAACTGCTTCACGGGGTTGTTGCTATGAGTATTAAATGACTGTGTATGTATAATGCTTAGACAAGTTTTGCAAGTAGTTCAGTGATCAACCAATGGTAGCTACTATTAAAGTTATTACTATTACTATCTTAAGAGAATTGTGAACCATGGTAACTTCTAATCCAGGCAACACCTTTTCTCAATATTCAGAATAGCCTCACCCTGTCCTTTTGTTCCCCTGGAGCCCAAGGGGCATGCCCTACTTTTCACCACACCGTATCCTTACATTCAGCAGTACCTCCAGCCCCAAGAGCCACCAGCAGGGTTAAGGAGAGCTCCTAGGTACCTCTGCACTACTGTCATGCATGATAAAAGGGAAGAGAAAGAAGATAGTAGAAGGGAGATAAAGAGTGAGAGCCTGGAGTAAAGGTAAGGAGTGGGAGAAGCAGAAAGTAAGATGAAAAGGAAAAGGAGTGCAAAAGAAACAGAAAGAAGTATATAAGGTGAGGGGCAGCGCTAGTGCCTTGCCTTCTCCACAGCAGACAGCATGGGGAATGCGCTCATGTGAGTACGGTTCTACAAGGACTTGCTGACACTCTGAAGACCTCTATGTCTCTATGGGATCCCTTCCTGAAGACAGCATGGGGGGGTCTATCTAAATCAAAGCTCGACAGTCTTCCTGGGGCAATCTTGCAGCAAAATCTGAACTTTATCCTCCACTACTGACCAGATTCCCAGTAGCTTCCATTAATCTGTCTTCCTAGGCACTACCAGTCAAGGGTGAACTTCTAAAGAATTCTCTGAGGCCAGAAGCTCTTAGCAACAGGCCGTGCCAACCCTTCCTGGGAGGCATCCTGTTGGCTTCTCTCACAAACACAGCCTCCGTGACCCGCAGGTTGACCCTGCCTGCTCTCGCATCTCCACATTGGTGGTGTTGAGAGGCAGGCTGGATTGCACTTTCAGGTAGACAGAAGGGAGGGCTTCTCTGCTGACCCCTCTTCCTTGAGAGCTGATGCAGCCTTCCTCCTTCTGAGGAGTGAGGTAGGCAGAGCCCACTGGAGACAGTAAAAGGGATGTGCTCATACTTAATGGTGCCTTTCAGAGGAAATCGGAGAAGCAGTAAAGCAGGCAGAGGCCTTGCTGCACACCAGGGCTTCTTAGTCCACAACTTCATAAATAAGGGCCCTGGGTATGGTTACGGCTCACTGGGCTTTCTAGAGAAAAGAGTGAACACTAAAAGTGACTGATATGACTAGGTAAGGTGTTAGAATAACAAATTCGGGCCTTGATTTGGGATGGAATGGGTTCTGGGGGTACCCCAGACCCATGCTTCAAGGTCAGAGGCTCTCTCCACTGTGCACTGCTAACGCCATAAGTTACCCAGTGCTAAGCAGTGTAGTGGAGTGGTTAAGAGTGTCCCAGTGCCACTGAGCATGAACTGCCAGCATCAGCCCTGGGAGCTAGTGGGAAATGCAAATGAGCAAGCTCACTTAGCCAATCAGAATCCTGGGGTGCGGGGCCAGGGAATCTTGGAACAAGCACCCCCAATGCTCCTTTTAGAAGCTCTCTTTTTATAGTCACATGTCTGGTTTCAGATCCTACTTCCTGATTTCACATATGGCCATTCTGAACCTCTGGGACTTTGGCTGAGCGATCTCATCATTTTGTGCCTCAATTTCTTTATTTCAAAATTGGGGTGGGAAAGTTGAGTGAATTACAATATTTAAAACAATCAGAGCGCATAGTAAGGGCTATGGCAGAGTTATTTGTTGTTTTGCTAATTATTCTATAATAGACATCTAGCACTGTGAAAACCCTAGGAAGCAGTGAAATATTAAAAAGAGTAGGTTTATTTCCTCTTCCATTTGAGTATGTCTGCTCTCATCTTAGTCAGAATCTGGTTGTGGAGTTTCACCCATACCCACATGTACATAATCTAATTTGGGGCAGATAAAAATAGACCATAGGCAGGACGGAAGGGGAAATTTTATTTATTTCTGTGGGGCATTCCAGAGGCCAGGGACCCAGGAAGGTCTTTCTCCTTGATATCCTGATTTCTCTCTGCCCCCTCCCTTCTCCCCACGCTCTTGCAGGGCCCATGGGCCAGATGCAATGATCCTTGTGGATGGACAGCCACGCCAGGCTAAGGGTGAGCTGGGGCTCTCCCAAATGCTCCACATCGCCAGTCAGATTGCCTCGGGTATGGTGTACCTGGCCTCCCAGCACTTTGTGCACCGAGACCTGGCCACCAGGAACTGCCTGGTTGGAGCGAATCTGCTAGTGAAGATTGGGGACTTCGGCATGTCCAGAGATGTCTACAGCACGGATTATTACAGGGTAAGGTGACTTTCCCAGCTGCAGGACTCAGTCACAGAGCTAGCGCCTTGCTTACATGTCTTTCTGATTGTCCATTAACCCTGTCACTCTGGCACACACATATATACACCCATGCCCAGACATGCACTCAACAGTTATTTTTTGGCCTCTCTTGCATCTTGATATACCTGTTTAGCATGTTCTCAATTGCCCACTCCTCCTTTCTTCTTGGACATTTAACTGAACTGTAATCTGTACATTGCAATAACATATGCATTGTGTTCTTACGTGCTCCAATACTCATTCTTCATGTAAACATACTCATACATGTATATGTATGTGCCCAAACACACACACAGACACACCCAACTTGGTACTACGTTTAATGTCTCCCTACCCAGTCCCAGATCTAGCCTCACTCATGACACATTTTATTTTCTGAAATTATCTTGTGACTATTTAAGAATTACCTTGTTTCCAAAGGTAGATCTTGATGAGAAGAGGAAACCTAAGTAAAGTAATAAAGATGGCTAATATATTGCTGAGTATTATCCAAATGGGCTAGAACAGATGAGGAAAGGAAGCGTTATCTGTAGCCAACTTTGGAGAGAGGACAGGTTAGATCCTAGAAAAACTTCTGATTGTGAGAAGAGCCATCCTGCTCAGTTTTACCTTCATATAGTCATCTGCTTTACATTAACAAGAGTCTTATTTTGCTCCCAGAATCTTTTTTTTCCCTGAGTGTTTGGGAGTCTTTTTTTCCATGGATTATTGACTGATTCTGATAGTGTTATTATTTCCAGGGAAAGAATGAATGGCCATGAGTATCACTTATCTCAGTAAGGGGAAATATGAGTGCAACCTGAGACACAGAGATAACTTCTGCAAACGGATTGAGGGCAGATTGCTAAAAAATACAGAAGATCCAAGGCTGGGCGCAGTGGCTCATGCCTGTAATCCCAGCACTTTGGGAGGCCGAAGTGGGTGGATCACGAGGTCAGGAGTTCAAGATTAGCCTAGCCAACATGGTGAAACCCTGTCTCTACTAAAAAATACAAAAATTAGCTGGGCGTGCTGGCATGTCCCTGTAGTCCCAGCTATTCAGGAGGCTGAAACAGGAGAATTGCTTGAACCTGGGGGGTGGAGGTTGCAGTGAGTCAAGGTCACACCATTGCACTCCAGCCTGGGTGACAGAGTGAGACTCTGTCTTAAAAAACAAAACAAAACAAAACAAACAAACAAACAAAAAACAGAAAGTCTATTTCTGCGACATCAAAAGGAAGAGGAGTTTGGATGGAAGTTATAAGGAGAGTGTGGGACAATGTTTTGGAGGTCAAGGGATGTCTTATTCCTTTTCGGCTGTTATAACAAATACCACAAACAGGATAGGTTACAAAAAACTGAAGTTTATTTCTCATGGTTCTGGAGGATGGGAATTCCCAGATCAAGGTGCAAACAAATTCATTGTCTGGTACTGCTTCCTCATTCATAGATGGCCATCTTCTTGCTGTGTCTTCTTCACATGGCAGAAGGGTTAAGAGATCTCTCTGGCAACTCGTCCATATGAATACATTGCCCTCGTAACCTAGTCACTTCCCAAAGGCCTCACTTCCTAACACCATTACCTTGGTGCTTAGGTTTCAACATATGAATTTGGGGGTTGCACAAACGTTCAGTCTATAGCCAGGATCATGGCAGCCATTTGTCTCATCTTTGGAGAAGTGAGTGATCATATCATGAGTCAAATAGATATGATTGTCCTGTTGGCCTGAGCAGGGTGGACCAGAGGCTGGGAATTTGAAGTGGGTGCAGATCAGTTCTATCTGGATGTTCCTGATGGCCTAAATGAGATCACTCAGACATTAAAACAGATCAGTCAAGACACTTCATTTTAGCAATAGTTTGGAGAAAAATGGAATATTTGAGAAATGACCTTCGTGGTTGGAAAGTGACTTGTTTGTGGTACAACCAAAGAATGGCAGATGATGTACTGTCATGAGAGAATATAAGATAAAGCATAGAGTGTCCACAGCAAGCTGGGCAGCTTCTCTAGCCACCTGTCCTGTCCAGTATCCCCAGGTATGGAAAAGGGGGCATGATGTGGCAGTAGTCACAGACTGATGGCCAGGGTAGATCTGCCAGAAAATATCTAAGAGGAGTCTCTCCTTAGTGTCTAGACCATATTTTTCATTCATTTCCAAGAGAGGCATTGGTGTGGTTACTAAGGGGGGCATGGGTCATAGATTTCTTAGAGTCTGGCTGGAGCTGGCACCGTTTAATTGCCTTTCCACTTTGTTTAATGGGGTTTGCTGGTCTGTCTGATTGTGCTCAGATCTGTGTTGGTGTTGATGAAAACAAGGGATGGCTCATTGTTTTTCTCTGTGAAAGGCAGATGTTTGATTATGCCAAGCTGATAACTACTGACCTCACTAGAGTCTCAGGAAACCATGTCTGACCAGAATGTGCTAACTGGCCCTTCAAACTTACTTCTAGATGTGCACTTAATATTTACTGAATCTGGTTTAAAAGAGGAAAAACAGAAAATAAAAAGATCACATCCCCAATTGATGTTTCTTTGCCCTTGCTTTAACAACTGTGAACTGTTGCTCTTTATGACTTAAAGGGCTGCAAGGAATACATCTATCTAATTTCTGTGGGTGCCAGGGTATATTAGAATTTAAGGAAGGGAGAGTGAGGTGGGAATATGTACACACTACAGGTAACCTCAATTCTTTCTTCACGAGTTCTAAGGGCGATGTTAGCCAAGGCCAGCTAGCTTGAAATGTATATTTTTGGTCCCAAGGAAGTTTGAACAAAAAGGGATAACTCTTACAGCAAAAACACAGCACACCATTGGAAATCTGTGTATTCTACTGATGAGATATTTAAAGACCAGCTTGTGGAATATCTTCATGCTCACTTACTCACAGTGTCCTATTGTATACACCACTCTTCGTTCCCTACTTTTCTGTAAAATCAAAGGCAGAAGTAGATTTGCCTGAAGTCACATCAAAATGAACCCTGAAGTCTTATTATTCATATTGGAAGACATTGGAATGACAATGGAATTCTTGGATTTAGGCCTAATCTTACCTGTGTTCAATCCTAATGTGCAACCACCATTAGCAACCATGTAACCTGAATGCATTTTCCCCAACCTCTGTTCAATTCTTCTGTCGTTAAAATGAGAACAAAAATATTCACTCGACAGAGTTGTGCTGATGTTAAGCAAGTTAATTTGTATAAAGAGCCTGTAATACAATACTTACTGAATAAGCTCTTATTTACATGATCTTACTAGTTCCCCTCACATCCAAGCCAAGACAACTCTGTGGATAATTTTATTTCCATATGCAATTCCTGGGACAGAGAGAGGGACTCCCTGACCACTAGAAGATAAACTGGATCATGCAGCTGCTCCAAAGAAGTAGGATCCTTGCATTGACCACCTCAGGAAAATGTCTTTCTTCAGGTTTCAACATGTATAGAAATACTGGGTCATCAATACTTGCCTCTTCGTCTCATAAATGTTTATAGGGTCTTGCTCATGAATCCTAGAGCTAAGGCCACATTTGGGTGATTTATGTAAAACTTTTTTGTTCAGTATACATCGGCTGAGGCCTTGGGGGAAATGCTCTGATTTGTCAGATAGCGAGAATACTGTGAAGGATTCTCTCTGTGAGATGATATCCCCAGACAGGTTTGTACCTCTCTGCTGTCACTGGTTACTGAAATCAGTTGGGCCTAAGAGTTTGTCAGCTTCTTATGCCTAATACCACTAAGTGCAGATAATCCAGGCCTGTGTGTGTGTGTGTGTGTGTGTGTGTGTGTGTGTGCGCGCGCATGCGCGCACGCGTGTTTGCCTGCCCAGTGCAGATTCCAGAATGTGCATATAAGGGCAAGGGGAGAGATGGAGATAAACTCCTCCTTATAGTCTTTCTTTTTCATTCTTAATTTATTAAAACGAGGCACCATCTGGCTCATGCAAAAGTGATATGCAAACAATTTACAAAGGTGAACTGCCTAATTTCCTGTTACACATTTAGAGAGAGAAAACAAACATTCCCACACCAGAGCACCAGAGCGATTTGTTCTCTCTTCTTAAGACATTCATAATGACAAACACCTTTTCCTTCTATGAATCACTGACTCAATGCTTCCAAGATTACCTTTTCACTGGCTTTCACAAGGGTGGGCTTTGGGTACCACTATATCTTTCTAAGAGCATCAGAGAACACTAAGCAACTGGTAGTCAAATCTAGAATTAAAGTTTTGAATGTCCTAAAGGGGAGAAGGTTGAGATTTCAGAATACAGATGTTTTCAAATGTTTTGATTTGGGGAGAGGAGTCAATACACTGAGATCAGGGAGGAATGGAATTCGGGGGGAATGGGATCCAACTAATCTAGAGCTCCAGGAGTGTTCCTTTCTGTTCACCCTGCTGTCCTGTGTACCTGTGTGCTGTCCTGTGTGACAGTACTTGGCACTTGTTAGACACCTAATAGAAGTATGAATGAATGAAGTCAGAAAGGGAATTTAAAATTAGGAAATAGGTCACTCCAGACCAAGAGAAATCTAGAGAGATAACCAGATGCTCACTAAGGGGAGGTGAGCCTTTGGAGATGATGTGGAATGCAGCAGTAGGCAGCAGGAGCAAGTCTTATCTAATCAAGCAGTTCATTATCCTGGGAGAATGTTCAGAGGAGGAAAATGAGTGATGGTCTGAGTCAGGGATGACCCACTTTAGGTTCTGGTAGAAGACAGAACTGAGTGTCTAGGACATGATGGGGCAAGTATGCTAAAATCCAGGTGGACACACAGGTGTGGGTCATAAGCAAGTCTGGCAGCAGGTAGTGAGGCACTGGATTCTAAGCTGGAGATTCTGGGTCAGGGTTCCCAGAAACTCCTAGAAAGACAGTAACAGTAATCATTAGGAAGTGGGAATCATTTAGAACAAGCCAATCTTACAGGAAGAATATTCGATTTTATGGATATCTTCGCATCCCCATAGCAGAAGAAAAG